CAAGACTGACTCCATCCCTGAGATCTGGGTGATTTTTCCATTGCCGTAACAAGGTGCCAGGAGTGTGTTGGCACATGCCCTACCTCCTCAGGCAGGCACATGAGCCTAGCATCATATCACCCCATTTCTGGACTGACCCCCAGGATGACCTATGCCTGAGTCTGAGGGCCAGAGTCAGGCAGTGATGGAATGCTGAGCAGGAGAGACCCACAGGGACCAGGCACCTTGTCTAGCCCTCCCACTGTAAGGGGGAGGAGATGAGACCTGGGGGTCACACAGTGCATTAGGAGAGGAATGGGGTATGAACCCAGGCCTTTTTTTTATTTCCAGTTTGATGATTTTGCTTATTATAGGACTGTATGGAAGAGGAGAGGGTAGCACGGCAGAAGAGCAGCAGCACTGGATTTAAGACTGGGCAGCTTTGGCTTGAAACCCAGTTTTTCTGACTGTTAACTGTGTGACTTTAATCAAGCCACTCGGTACCAAGTGCCTACCGTGATGGTAAAGTCAAGATTCTATCAGCCATTCCAACAGGGCTGCTGGGAGCTTAGAAGAGATAATTGAGGTGGAAGGCACCTGGGGGTAAGAGATGCTCAATAAACATTGGTCAACTCCGAATCTGAAAGGAGATCCCTCACATTTTACAGGCCCCCACAGGGGATAAACCCCATGAAGGTTAAACAGAAATATCCTCACCATTTTTGTAGTAACTCCTGGACAGTTTACTGCAGGGTCTAGTGCAGAATTTCCAGGTTGTGTGCTTCGGAGCACTACTTCAGTGTGAGAAAAGGTGCCACATAAAAAAAGAACTGCAGGGCCAGACTCGTTTGCAGAGCTGCACTAGTGTTGACCAAGTTTACATACTGCAGGACTCCTCAAGCCTCTGCTTCCCGATGTGGCTTTGTGCATGTACGGCGGCATTTCTCAGCATATCTGACCAGATAGCTCTTTGTCAGGAGCATGAAAGTTCTCCCAGTAGTTGGGGGTGCGCCAGTAACAGCCTGGGAAACAGTTACTAGTCTACTGGAAAGGCCACCTGCCTGAAGTTAGGAGCCTTTGGCTCTGTTATTTTATGTCTGCCACTTACTTGTGTGACCTTATCCATGTCCCTGACGCGTATGGGCCTCAGTTTCCCCATCTGTAAACTGAGGGGAGTGTGGGGGACCAGAATCCCTTAGGGTGCTTCCAGTCTGATGTGCCGGAATCTCGAAGCTCTTCTCCATCATTAGCTCCCTGCTGGGAAGGCCAGCACACCCAACTCTAGCCAAGGACAGTGCTGGGAGGAGAGCAGAGGCTTCCAAGAGGGCGCAGCCAGCAGTCCCATTACTGGCCCCAGGTCTTGCCCTTAGAGAGCCTGGAGAGGAAACTCGAGGGCTACCATCCTCCCCTTGCTCCTCCTCTGCCCCCTTCCCCCAGCTCCCAGCGGGAGAGTCAGCCGCTGAGGGATTAAGACAGGCCCCAGAACCCATTCATGCCATTCAGAAAGACAGGAAGTGAAGCGGGCTCCTGCCCGCCTGTCTCTGCTGGGCAGGTCTGCAGGATTATGTGTATTGTGCTGGGGACTCGCACAAAGGGAGGCCCAGCCCATTGGGAAAGGCCGAGTCCAGGTGGGAATCCACCGCCCAGTGGGCTGCAGGCCGAGTCCAGGTGGAAATCCACGGCCCAGTGGGCTGCAGGCCGAGTCCAGGTGGAAATCCACCACCCAGTGGGCTGCAGAGCTACTCCGCTGTCCTGACAAGCCAGAGGCTGTACCCTCACCCGTGTCCAGTGCTGCCCTTTACCTGCACGGTAGGAGGCTGGGGGATCCCAGGGGCACAGTGAGTGCCATCCTCTACAGTGTCTCCCAAGACAAGGTGCCAGCATCCACACACACAGTTTCAGCCTGTGTGCAGGAGTCTTTTCCCAGGACAAATGCAGAGATCACAAAAGGCAGGCAGGGAGCAGGCAAGCAGGTGGCAGGCAGGCGGGTGAGGACAAGTTCATCTCCCTGAGCAGGAGGCTCCTGAGGGCCTCTGGGGAACGCGCATGTTCAGTTTCTCAGCTTCTTTCCACCACCATCTAATCTTTAACCTAAACAAACTGGATCTGGCTTTGACAGCGACTCAAAGCAGAGATGTCCATCTCAGTTCCCAAGGGCTGATGGGCCCTCACTATCTGGAATCCTGTGGAGAAGATCTCTGCTCCAGAGTGTCTTGAATTTCACTCATTCCTAACTTCAGCCCTACCTGTATACACCTGTACTATTAAACTGACAATGTTTTTCTTTTTATCAACTTCTTTTTAAAGGGAAATAACTTATTTAGCCCTTGACTAAGCAATGTCTGTGAAGTCATAGGTCTTATGTGCTAGTAGTTCCTAATACAATAAAATAATTTCCCAACCGCCAAAAAAAAATGGTTTATCCCTAATCTACCTGAAATCAGCTTGGGAATCATCAGTGTAAGTGAAACAGAGAGAATGAGATTAGATAGTCTTTAATCCCCTTCAATTCTTGGCAGCTGGGTTTATATGGCACTAAGAATCCTCAGTGCCACTGATTCCAAGCTCTCCACAGTCACCTAAGCCAGACCCTCAAGAGTGGCCTCAGACTCCTCCTCCTTCCTCACTGCCCTGATAGAGTCACTAGGTAGTCTTGCTTCTGGAGCACCTCTCCCATTCCAGCAGCCACTGCTTCTGTGCAGGCTTTCATCCATGCTCACTCACATCCCCGCAGTAGCCTCCTCACGCTCTGCTTGTCACCTCCTGCCTCCAACCCACTCTCCACCCTGCATCACGGTACTCTTTTCACCAGGCATATCTAATGCACTTGGAACACGGTGAACACTCCATTAATGAATGACAGCTTTGATATTTTTAAGGATACCAATCTAACCATGTCTCTGTAGTACTTAAAAACTTCCTATTGTTTCCCATAGACCTCGAGATAAATGGACATTCTTTAGCGTGGTCTGGAAGACTTTTTCTGATCTAGCCCCTACCTACTCCTCTAGCAAGTTTTTCATCACTTCCCAGCTCTATCCTCATGCTCCAGTGAAACCAAACAGGTGTCCAAATGTGCTATGTGTTTCATGCCTCTGTGCCTTTGCTGATTCTGTCTCTTCTTCCAGGAAAATTCCCCCCCATGCCCCCGACCATCAGCTCTTCCTCAGATTGCCAGCCAATTTGGAATTTTACTAAATTGTATCATCCTCTCTGTATCAGTTAGCTTTTACTGCACAACAAAACACCCTGAAATACTGAACAAAAAGCTGATTATTTCTAAGTTGGTGGATTGGCTGGATGGTTCTTTTGATCTGGGCTGACTCAGCCAGGGCTAGATGGTCTGGGGTGGTCTCATTCACATGTGCAGAACCTCAACTGGGATGTCTGAGACTGCTGGGATGGCTAGAATCTCTCTGACATCTTACCCTCCAGGAGGCTAGTGTGAACTGATTTACATGGTGGACTCAAGTTTCCAGCAGCAAGAGTGAGGGCAAGTCGCAGTGTGCAACTGGCCATGAAACCTCTGCTTGAATCACATTTGCAGATGTTCACTGGCCGAAGCAAGTCATGTGACCAAGGCCTTCCTCAAGGAATAGAGACTGGAGGAGCAGCAGAGCCACACTGCAAATGGAGTGCAATTAGCATGGGAGGTAACTGTGGCTCTTTTGTGAGCACTACAGTTCCTGAAGTTTTCTGTGGTGAAAACTCTTGTTTTGTCCTCCTGGTACATAGTTCCCCCTTTTTTCCAGGGATTTTGATTGAAGTGAGGAGGGAATAGTTCTTCAAGAGAAAGGAGGGTGATGTTCCCAGAATAAGGCCATGAGACAAGAAAACATCACCCTCTTGTTATTTGTACTTCTACGATCTGACAGTGAATTGTACTTCAGTTTCCCTCAGTCCCACAATCTCTCCGCTAAATCTTCCAACCACGTTCAGAATTCCTGTTGCAGAAACTGAGTTAACACTTTTGTACTCCAGTGTACACTGGACTGTACACTGGTGAGGAATTGCTGCCTCAGCCACACAGTTAAATCAAAGAGACTCTCCAACAAAGAGCTGGATGTTTATGTCAGAGTTCATCGATTTGTAGTATGTTGTATATACACTTAGGCATTAATAAATATATGAGAAGATATACAATTGTTATTTAATAATATGCTTCATTCTTTGTTTAGTGGTCCCATTTATCTCAAAATTTTTAAGTGAGGTATTACATGCTTACAGTAAGTTACTGGAAATGTTCTATATCTTGAGGTTGGCATATACATATATATTCCCTTGCGTCTGGCTTCCTTTGCTCAGCATAATGTTTTTGAGATTCATCCATATCTTTGCATGAATCAGTGTCTGTTCTTCTTTATTGCTGAAAAGCATTCCGTTGTGTGACTATCGCAGTTTGTTGCAGACACCCGGTCACGTCCACACTAGGAATATCATGAATGCTGCTGCCATGAATACTCCTGTACTTGTCTTTCACTGAACTGCATTTCTCTTTGGTTTATACTCAAGAGTAGAATGGCTGGATCATAGGATAGGTGCATATTTAGCTCTAATTTGTAATTTCAAAGAATGAGGTTTTTCCTTTATGAAGTCCCTCCACTGGTTATGTGCAGCCCTCCTGACTGGGTGGATTCCGCCTGAACTTCAGCCTATATTCTGGTGCTCCAGACAGGCCCAACCAGATCAACAGGCCTCTTTACAAAATGCTGTCTTAGCAGAGAGAATATAGTCAATGATTCTGTAACATCTTTCTGTGTTGACAAATATTAACCACACTAGAGAGGGTGAGGATTTAATAATATGGGTAATAACTGTTCAACCACTGTGTTGTATATTTTAAACCAATATAAGATAGCATTTCAACAATACTTCAAGTAAAAAGATGCTGTCTTAATAAAGCATTTTTCTACCTGATTCTGTCTCTTCTTCCAGGAATATTCCCCCCTCCCTGACCATCAGCTCTTCTTCTTCCACATTATATTGGCACTATCTCATGCTCTATTGCAAGTATTGTTTTACATTCCACTTTCCCCTCTAATACCCACCAGACTGAATGCTCCATGCAAACAGGTACTTTGCCATCCCTGTAATCCCCCTTGCTTGGTATACAATGGATAATTAATGTCTAAAGATTAATAATAACAGCTAATTTATTAGTTATTTGCTGCTGTGTGGCTTAAACAGCATCTGTTATCTGGCAGTCTCTGTGGGTCAGAGATCTAAGAGCAGTTCAGCTGGGTGGTCTGGCTCAGAGTCTCTTGTGAGATTGTAACCAAGGTATGGGCCATAGCTGCAGTCATCTGAAGGCTTGACTGGACCTGGAGGATCCTCTTCCAAATTCATGTCCTGTTGGCTATTCCTTGCCACATGATCCTCATGACATAAAATCTGCTTCCCCTGAGTGAGTGAGCAGAGAGAGGGCAAGGAGCAAGCTGCAGCACCTTCTGTATCTAGTCTTTGAAGTCACACATGGTCACTTCTGTTTTATTCTTTTCATTAGAAGTGAGGCACTAAGTTCAGTCGATACTCAAGAAGAGGAAAATTAAGCCCCACTTCTTAAAGGAATATTAAAGAATTTATGGACATATCCTGAAACCACCATCTCTAATAATCGTTAACATTTATTGAGTGCTTACTATGTGCCAGACACTATGCTGTAGGTTTTTACAGAGTATTTTGTGTAATCTTTATTACAGCCCTACAAGAGAGAGACAGTCCTCAACTTTTCAGACTAGAAAACAGGGGTACTGAAAGATTAAGGAATTTGCCCAACATTCCACAGAAAATGACAGTGCTAGGATGGGAGCCCAGGAGTAAGACTCCAGAGCTTTGGCTCCTAACTACTAGGCTATATAATGAATGAGAGATACTGGATGATTCTATGAGTTTAGGGTTTTCACATAGAGTGGTGGGCTATATAGCAACCCCAAAGATATGTCCATGTTCTGATTTCTGGAACCTGTGAATATTACCTTATATAGCAAAAAATGTGACTAAGTTAAGGATCTTGAAAGAAGGCACTTTTCCTGGATTATCTATGTGGACCAAATGCAATCACATGTATCATCATAAGAGAAAGCCAGGGGGAGTTCCAACATGAACAGAGGAGAAACAGAGGGAAAGGTGATGTGAAGACAGAGGCAGAGACTGGAGTGATGCAGCTGCAAGCAAAGGAATGCTGACAGCAGCCAGAAGCTGGAGGAGGCAAGAAAAGAACTCTGCCTGAGGACCTGCAGAGGAACTGCATGCCAACACACCCTGGTCTGGGACTGCCGGCCTTCAGAGCTGTAAGAGAATCCATTCCTACGGTTTTAAGCAACCAAGCTTGCAGTACTGTTATAGCAGCCATACAGAGACTAATACAGACGGTGAAGTGTGTCCTCCCTCCCTGTTCATCAGTGTTGCTTGGGGGCAGGAATGACGTGTTTCAGGCTTGTTAGCACAGTTCTTGTCTTTGGATCAGCCTGGCACCAACTCACTCTGAAGGAGAAATAGAAAAAAAAAACAGGTAAAAAGGTAAAAAGGAAAGGAAGAAAATTGTGTAATAACCACCCATATTGTTATTGTGGAGCTTAAGTTTTACTCTGAGCTTCCTGGTATCTGAGGCTAAAAGAGAATCAGGGCAGATTACACAATCTTCATTTTCTGATAAAAATGAACCACATCTGTTCTTCAAGAAATACACATCCTTCCCTCATGTTATATTCTAAGAATAACTGAATAAGTGTGTCTTCACATACTGAATAAAAAACAAGAGATAAAATGTGAACAATGACTTAAAGAAGATCAAGGTACTGTCCTCATGTGGTGGTGTTTTGTATAATACCTGGATAAAAACTACAGCCAAAGAAACACAGTTCAGCATCCTGACTACACAGGCGATCACCCAGGAATGAGAGCTCGCATGGACACAGGGCACCAGCGTTCACAAAGCGCTCTTATATCCATCATCCTGTATGTGATCAAGCAGCTCCTGGGAGCTAGGCAGGGAAGTGTAATCTGCATTTTACAGATATAGAACCCAAGGCCCAGAGAAGTGAAGAGACTGTCCCAAAGTCACATAGCTGGTGAGTGGCAGGACTGGGTTTCATTTCCAAGTAACAGGTCTCCAGGCATGCTGGCTCTACTTAGTCCAAATGCCTTCTATTATGCTACAAAGATATCATGCCCATCCATCTTTTCTTTACAAGCACACCGAGTCTTTGCAGAAAGGGTCCTCCTTTCACACTTCTTGGGAAGCCCCTGAAGCCCAGGGCTGATCCATATGGTAAAGATGTCCCACCATGTGTCAGGCCCTGTCGCAGGAGAGACCACAACCCATTCCACCTCCTAACTGGTGTTTAGGTCAGGTCCCAAGCTAGCTGAGTTACAGTTGTCTAAAGGAGATGAGTTAAGTATGGGATGGTGGGGCTCTGACCCAGCAATATGCAAAGAGATCCAGGAGTGAGGGCTAAGCCTGGCCCAGCAGGGGTGTGGTCAGGGCGCTGTCCACCCTACAGTGCTGACTGGCCTCAGGTTGCTGGGAAAAAGATGGGACCCCCCACCAGGGAGATGGGTTTGGCCTTCCAACTGCAGAAGTTGGAGATACTTTTTTCCCCCACAAGGGACTGGGAGAAGAGAGGACTGGCTGCCTCTCCCTCCCTCCCTTCCCCATGACCTTTGGTGACTCTTTCTCCCCAATTAATCCTTGTCCTCTTCTTTCACCTTTCCAGCCTTCTTACCATTCATCTGAGGTCACTTTTGTTTCCACCTCCGTCTATCCCTATTGCCTTTGTTCCTTCTCTCTTCCCTCTTTCCTCTAGTTGTGCAAGTATCTTGACCTCTCCAAGTGAAAACGCTGACATCACAGGTGGCTGTAAAGCTTGGTGGGTGTTATAGAGAAGATGCCCAATCCAAGTGCATTCCCCTCACCCATGCCCCTTCCTCGCAGATGGGATGGAGGGCAGGTGGAGACACCATACTGGCTCCTTTCGCCTCCCCCAGCAGAGCCTCCATGTGCTGACTGCTTAACAACCACTGAAGAAAGTCTTGGGGGTATGACTGGCCTCCTCACCCAAGGAGACAGACTGTGGCCCAGAACATGTGGTTGCACCCAGCAGGGCTGTGGGGTGACAAGTGATGTTGATGGAGATCTCTAGGGGGAAGGCAATCATGATTTACCACATGACTACTGTGTGCCAGGCATGGGGTAAGAATTTTACATGCATTATCACAGGATTTGTGAGAACCCTATGAGGCAGGTACTATTATTAGTGTGCTCATTAACAGATGAGTAGAGAGATTCTGAGAGGTGAAGTGACTTGTCCTGGGTCACATAGCTATCAAGTGGTGAAGACAGGTCAGTCTGACTCTAAGTGCCATGCTTTATAACTTATCTACTATGGAAAAATACAAACATATAGAATGGTAGGCAGAATAGTATAATGAACCCCCATGCACCTATTACCCAGCTTCATTGATCAGCTCTTCATCCCTACCCACACCTACATGAGCCTTTCCTTATTTTGAAGCATATCTAGGATATTAGATAGTTTTGTCCATAAATATTTCAATATGTGACTTTAAGATAAAAATTAAGTTTAAAAAACATAATCAGAATACCCTTACTATGCCTTAAAACTTTACAATAATGAAAGATTATCAATAATAAGCAGCATTCACAGTCATCATCATGCTTTTCTTCTCACCCTTTCTGCCACTTCCAATAAAGATATGACATCTCTTCCATTGCAAAGCCCTTCAACACACATTACCTTATTTAATGCTCAAATCGGCTCTTGGAGGACTTTCCTCATTTTGGGAATGAGGAAACTGAGGCTCAAAGAGGTGAATGGACTGGCCCAAGATCACACAGTGGGTTAGGAGCAGAGTCAGGGCTTTGCCCAGGACCCATGTCTCCCAGCCCTTGCTTCTCTCTGCTCTGGGGGCTTCACAGGGAGATTTCAACTGTCAAGCTTCATCCACTAACTGCCAGGCTTCAGGGGGTCCTGGAGGAGTAGGCTGAGGGACTCTCCCCCAATAGCAGCAGGCTAGATGGGGTGCAATCCCAGCTGGGGAGGTCCAACCAAGCTCCTTTCACTGGATTAACAGGGCTAATTCCTTGGCTCAAGCTTATTTGCATGCAATAGCTCCCCAAAGCCTGGGCAGTGGCTGGGCTTACCACCCAGCCTCCCAAGCTGCATGCCGTAAGCCCCCTGCACTACGGCAGATTGGATGCTGAAGCCCAAAGGGCAGGCACAATAGCCAGATCACTCAGCCAACCTTATCCTAATTCTACTTTTTGCCTAAGTGCAGGCAAAGGGCAAAGGTCTCTCCGTTTTTCTTCTGGGATTCTCCTTGCCTAGCCAGCCCTGCACTTGCAGAGAATGCCAAGGATTCCATTCTAAATCCCCTGGCTTTTATGGCTAATTCTTCCATTAGTCTACAGCCTACAGAATAAACCCCTCAGCCGGGCATTCAAGGCCTACAGTCTGCCCATCACCACTGATGTAACCTGTCATAGAGACCAATGGGACCATGTTACAACTTCAGGGGAGACAGAAAAAAAACTTTAAACTAGCTAATTCCTGAAATTCTCCAGTTAGAGCTTCACTTCTTTAGCTTTAGATTATGTTCTCTGTTTAAATGCAAGCATCGTTTCTGCCAAGAGTGTCCTATTAAGTCTCCTTCCATATCTCAAATTTTATGTTCTCAACACACCATGTTACCTGTTTGTCCATACAGACCAGGGCATTTCATTTCTCCGTACCTTTGTTCACGCTATTTTCTCTGCCGGAAACCTCATTTCTTCCTTCTTCATCCACTAACTACCAGGGGTGCCTCAGGACTCAGCTAAGAAACCTCCTCTGGGGAACCTTTCTGAATGCCTCCCTCCTCTCACAGCCTTCCCATCGCCTGTGCTGGGCAGAGTGCTTTCATGGGTTTACCTTGACCGTAGCACTCACCTCCCCGTGTTGTAACCAGCACACTGAGAGCCCCTCAAGGGCAGGGATCAGTGCTGTTCATCTCAGTCTTCCCCAGGCCTGACAGGATTGCAACTTAATGTGCCTGTTAATAGACTTGATCTTATTGAACCCACACTGCACCCTGTGGTTAGGGTGCTTGGTAATGACTTCTCCTCCTAGTTCACAGAACCACTTCTGTCAGAAAATGAGACTCAAAGAGGCAAAGTGATGTGTCTCAGGCAGCCAGCACTAAATGCAGGCTAACACTCTCAGCCACATCTCCTGTCTTAGTCCAGCACACTGTTCCTGCTGCACCTCCAGACAGAGGAGCTGTGACAGCATGGCGCAGGAGGCAGTGCCCTGGGGCACCTCGGAGCCAGCAACTGTACTCAGACACCTCTAGCACAACTCTCTGTTGCTGCAGAGCAAAGCCCAGATTCCCAGATTCCTCATCCTGACCTCAGGGCCTCCCACAACCCTACCCAAGCCCACCCCCAAGTCTTATCTCCCTCTACAACTCCCTCAGAGGCCCCTGCTTTACAGAAGTCTTCCAACATCAGGTGACAAAGCAGTGTAGTGCTCAAAACAAGCAGACCAATCAGCATTTTCCACACTGCTCATTTTGAATGCCAGCACCCTGAGAGATGCTTACAACTATTTCTCCATAAAAGAGCCCCATGGGCAGTGGAGTAACAATGCCTGGTATGTCCTCAGTGCTTATATTTCAGGCACTGTGCAGAGCATTTTGCATATGATACTGCATTTCAGCCTCATAAAAGTGCTATAAGGCAGGCTCTCTTTTTCCTCTGAACTACAAATGAGGAAACTGCAGCTCAGAGAGGCTAGTGAACTTCCCCATAAAACATAGCTAGAAAGTACTAAACCCAGGATTCAAAACCCGGGGTTCTTGGCCACTCTGTGAGGCTACCTTTGTCTACTGCATAGCCTCTTGAAGAAATTCAAGATTTAATTAACATATTAAACATCCTGTGGATTCTTATTTAAATTTAAATATTTCCCACACTCATTTGAGGCTGGAACAGCTCCCTTCTCACCACCACCTTTTGTTTTACTGAATCCTATTCACATCCCCCAGAATTCAATGTTCCACAGTTTGTGAAATGCTTTATTAGAAAATATCAGCTCCATGGTCCCAATCTGAGAGCACAGAGAGGATGGAGTGGCTGAGGGAACCCTGGAGTCCTCCAGGTAGAGTCTCTTTATTGTGCACATGGAGTTCGGAGGCCCAGAGTGGCATGTGCTCTCCCCAGTCCCACAGCAGAGGTGGGGAGGAAGCAGGTCTCTGACTCCCTCCTCACGACAAGAAAGGCCTTTCCTCAAGACAGGCTGGTGGGCTGGCACTTTGGAAACCTCTTGGCAGGTGGAATTCACACACCTTCCTGTAGAGGCCGCACAGTCTTTGGGAAAGGGAAACTGCTGAAAGAAGCACCATCTTATTGGAAAAAAAGGCATTACTTCTGAGGCTCACAAAGGCTCCACAGATCAAATTTAATTCCTCTAAGGCAAGGACACAGA